CTCCTGTAATAAAGGTCTCCGTGCTGTGATGCCTCAAGACTCTGAATTGGGTTTGTTTCAATGGTTTCACACAGTCACTCCTGGGATTAACACAATGGATGAGGCTCATTATTGTTTCAAATAGTATCTGAATTTGAACTTGCCGTGTCCTCTCTGAACTTTTTCAAGGACATCTGGAGGTGCAACTTTAAAAACATATTGAAGTAATTGTAAGATTGGTTCACCACGACAAAAGCAAGCCAAAAGGAGGTGGGGCACTGGAGAAATAGATGAGCTCAAGAAAGGTCGATGGGAACTTCAAAGGGATTTGAATTGGGCCCTAAGTGTTGAGTAACTGGAACGGACAGCAATTTAAAGGACAATAATGGAAGTGATGTGGTGTACTTGGAAAGGTCCCCTTTCATTATTCTCACAATGTCAATTATGAACTCTTTGGCATCAGCCAGTTCCTTTGAACCATGTTTCTTGTGGTCACCAGTGCCGCTGACCATCTTCCAGACCTAATAATTGTACTTACACAAGTTTCTTTCTGGAAACTGAGACTGCCACATTTATACTCCCGACTGGAAAGTAGAAAGCCCTCGCCACATACTCCAGGGCATCTGAACCTCTGTCCTTGGCAATGTAGCACTGAACACCTCCTGCAACATGCTTCTCCCAGTTTGCCATTCCTGGCAGCTGGCTCCAGAGGCTGTTTACATTTCCCACTATGCCACAGTGCACTGCTTCATCAGGGGATTCTGGGAATTTTAAACAGTGGTTAGACCCGGCTGTCTAGTGCTGCTTGGAGCGCTGCTCTTGTTGCCTTTCCTTCTCCTGCCAAATTCACCAGGACCCACCAAGAGAGGAGGAACATTAGAGGACACCTTGCCAAGAGGCCCCTCCAACCTTGAAACATACATAAATCCCTGCATATATCATACTGTGCCTAAGGGCGCCACCTTTTCCTTGTGAATGCTGAGGTTTGTGCCACTAAGAGCCTGTGGAACATCAAGTGAAGAAGCTGTTTCTCAGCATGGAGATGCATAAAGAAGGAATTATAGTGTGGCTACTTCCTGTACTAGTGACAGATTGTATTTTCTGGGCTCCAAGATCACCGCAGACGGGGACTGCAGCCAAGAAATTAAGACGCTTGCTCCTGGGGAGGAAAGCTATGGCAAATCTAGATAGCATACTAAAAAGCAGAGACATCACCCTGCCAACAAAAGTGCGTATAGTCAAGGCGATGGTTTTCCCAGTTGCAATGTATGGCTGTGAAAGCTGGACCATAAGGAAGGCTGAGCACCGAAGGATTGAGGCCTTTGAGTTGTGCTGCTGGAAGAGACTCCTGCGAGTCCCTTGGACTGCAAGGCGATCAAACTGGTCAGTCCTAGAGGAGATCAACCCTGACTGCTCCTTGGAAGGCCAGATACTGAACATGAAACTCAAGTGCTTTGGCCACATAATGAGAAGGAAGGACTCCCTGGAGAAGAGCCTAACGCTGGGAACAATAGATGGCAAAAGAAGAAGGGAACGGCAGAGGATGAGGTGGCTGGATGGAGTCACTGAAGCAGTTGGTGTGAGCTTGAGTGGACTCTGGGGGATGGTGGAGGAGAGGAAGGCCTGGAGGAATGTTATCCATGGGATTGCGATGGGTTGGACATGACTTTGCGACTAACGACAACTTCCTGTACAGCTGGAAAAGCAGAGAAAGTCTCTTCTGAAAAAAATTACAACTGCCTCCTTTGGGATCCTGAGGAATGAAGTAATTGAGGCAAAGCCTTATGGAGTGTTCTGGTTTGCAAGTATTTCATTGTAACACCAGTTCAGCAGCCGTTCATACCACCAGGAACAAATCCCTAAGAGAGACTCCCCAACCTGATGCCCTCATGCTATGTTGGACTACCAAGTCCTGCCATTCCATTTACGGGAGTTGAGACCCAAGACTTCTGGAGAATGCCAGGTTGGGAAGGCTTCTCTTCCTGGGAGATTGTTGGCTAAGGGCACAATCCAATGCATGTTGAGACAGAAAAGGGGCCTACAGCTCCCAGCATGCCCCAGGCAGCACATTCCTTGTCATGGCTCCAGAAAGCTATCCTGGCTTTTGGAGAGTGGGAAAATTCACCTCCTTACATTTATACTTCCAGTGGAGCCCATCCAACGCACCACCTCACCTTATTCTTACAGTTGCCCTGTGAAGTAGGTTAGATTGACGAAAGACCCAAGGTCTCCCAGCAAACTTCACGGCTAAGTGGGGGCTTCAGCTGGGCCTCTTCCATCTTAATCCATCACTCAAGCCACTACACGGAAACAGCAACGTCCCCATCTTGGATGACCGCTGTGGCCTCTGGTCTTGAATGGCACACAGCCTCTCGACATGGAGCGTCCTGCTTAGCCACCAGATATGCTCGTTTTTAAACTCATTTGTCAGTGGGTCTTTAGGCAGCCAAAATAGTGCAATCAGACACAAAAGAGAAGTGTGAGGAGGCTGCTAAGGAACAGACACACACAATCCCCCAATGGAGGACTTTGCTCAGTGGCCAGAGAATGATGGGAATGACTCAGTGGGAAGTGGGGGCAATGGGATTGAGTATTTGGGGAAGGGCCCTCCTGATCAGCCTGGAGCATTTTGTACTGAACAGTAGCCAGGGATGGGCTGGAGGCTACTGCTCCCCTCCCCAAATTATTGCTGCCTCTGATGTATTTTTTGCAAATAAATAATTCAAAGTAGTTTGCCATTTTGTCTTTAAAAGGATTATTATTATTATTATTATTATTATTATTAATATTATTAGAACATTTCTATGCCGCCCCTTTTTGAACTACAAACCAAATGAACTGCCCCCTACTTTTTTGACAGCCACCCCAGAGCTTAATCTGGGCCTAAGATGGCGTTGTGCTGTTTTTGCATTTGCCATTAGTAGCCAAGGATAGAGCTGACCTCCCTGAATCAGTCCATTGGTCCTTTCAAGTTTTCTGTTTTTGGTTGCCGCTATATCTTACGTAGGTGTGTGTTTTCTGATGCACTGGTGTCTATCCTGACTTTACCACCAATCAACTATTGTGGATGAAGCTGAGTTTTGTTATTACTGCAGCAAAAGGAGGCAGAGGGGGAATATATCCACTTTCTCAAAATTTGCTAAGGTCGTATCAGAGCTGTCAAGGGAAAAAAAAAAATAAATGTGTTATAACACAAGGCACCACAAGAGGGCAGCGAGAGTCAAATCTTGCAGCATTAATTTTCTGAAGACAGAGACTGGCTTAGAGCCGTTGTTGTTGCTGCTGTTGTTGTTGTCATCTTGCTGTAAGTAAATGCTCAGAACAGACATGCCCTGTGGAATTCTCATGTCTTTTTTTATACTTGTTCCTGTACCTTTAACAACATGTGTGTTCCTGGCATGCCGAAATTAAACAACTCTAAGCCGGGGAAAACCTCCAACTACTTACAGGAAAGGGCCATAAGCAAGTGCTAAAATTTACAATATGCATGAAAGGGCATTTAAGGTGCATTTTAACTGAGAAGCTGGGGATGCCCAGGTTAGAGACCTCGACGTCAGACCATAGAGATCCGTTGTGATTGAGAAGAGAGGTAGAAAGTCCACCCTGGAGGATGGTAAATATTTCCAGGGCTGCACGGATGGGCAGGTCAGTGACAGGTGGAGCCAGAACCATGGTATGTAGGGACTAACAAACACAGATTTTCCAACTTACCAGGGCCAGGGTCCTTTTGCACCCTTTCAGGGGCTCTTCCCTCCACCTATCTACCTTCCTGGCCCATGGTCACACCTGTTATGGCTCCTCCCCCTTTTTCTCACTTTGGCTATGGCCATAATTGCTTTTAGAGAGTCAGGGAGTAAGGAAGCCACAAGATACCTTGCTCCTCTTGCTCATCACCTTCCTTCTCTGGCTCAGAGTGAGAAGTGGGTGAATCAGTGGATTGCCATGGTGAAGAAGAGGTGTGACCCCAGGGGGCTTTGGTGAGTGGGCCCCGACTCAACTCTGGGCTCTTGGTAGATGCCCACTCATGTCAACCTTTCATAGTGGTCCTACCACTCACACTCAGATGTATGTTGTTGTTATATGCCATCAAGTCATCTCTGACTTATGGTGACCCTGTGAATGAACGCCCTCCAAAACCCTACCATGACAGTCCTGCAGCTCTTGTAACCCCAAGGCTGTAGCTTCCTTTATTGAGTCATTCTTCCTCTCTCTCCCGTGCCCAAAGACCCTTCCCTTGCCATGAAAATCACATGCACTGTGGACATTCTAACAGTTGTGCTTAGAGAGCTAACCATAGAGAGAGATGAAACTGGTAGAGCACCATCTTCACCAGCTCTCTGTAGACTTTGGGGAGGATCTCAGCAGAAGCTTATTCAGCCATGCTGGTAAAACTAGGGAAGGCTGTGAATGGAGGCCCTTGGGGCAGCTGAGCCACCCAGCAGACTGCAGGAGAATCACACACCCCAGGACCAACAGTGGTTCACAAGCGGTATGTCGCCCATGGATGCGCTAGTCCAATCAATGGCATGTCTCAGTGTGGCAGCTTCATGTGGTCCGTTTCTCTGAGTCAGGCAATGGAGCATACCTAATAGCAAGTAAAGTGGATCTGACACAGTAGGAGAGTGAGACATTTGAACCCTCCCTGGTCATTTGAAAATGCACATGGAGAGGTTGAGAGGGTCATGCTCGGTAGACATGCTGAACCTGTTGATACATACCAGGCATGTAAACACATTTGTGTTCAAATCTCTCCATTAGAGAGAATCAGTCAGGGCATCTCTGCCCCCCTCTTGCATAGAAGTGGCCCTTGGTCTGAAATAGTAGTACTCAAAGAGTACAGCAATATCCCTATTTTGCTCCATACCGTGTCAGAAGGTTTGCTATTGAATAAAATGGGTGTAGGATCTGGTTATCTATACAGTTTTGTTTTTCCAAACGGCAGTCCAGATGACTCTTTCCTAAAGATCATTGTGACCCATAATGTGATGTTGGTTTATTTTTCTATGCATTCCATTTTGCAGGAGATGAAGGCCAAAAGGGAGACCAAGGCGAAATGGGCAAGCACGGGAAAGTTGGCCCTAAGGGATCCAAAGGTAAAGTGTGCGTGGTTATCTGCTGTTCTGTGAAAACATAGGAAGACACTTCTGGCTCTTTAATAGCAGAGAGCCATCTGATATTTTTAATGCTTCCCCAAATGTTTGCTGTTGCTTATTGAAAACACCTCTGGATGTTTTCAAAACATGACAATGGAGGAGCAAATTCTGCTCTGTGATTTGCTTTGGAGTAAATACAGAGACAAGCATTGATCAGTAGAAATTACATTGATCAGTGGGAATTGCACTGATCAGTGAAATTACACATCCAGAAGGTGCAGGGTCAGTGCCAAGGCTAGTTATGGTCGGACGCCTGCGAAGAGCACACTCAGGCAAGAGCCTCGAAACAAGAGCTCCCTGGAACTGCTCCTTTTTGCCATTGCAGCTGTCGCACCAGGCCTCTCTCTCTGGTCAAGACAACAACAGTGACGAGAAGGAGGCATGCGATGCTGAGGGTGATGTTGACTGGTGAGAAGAACCACCTGCTCTCTCGACCCAGGTCCATCTTGGCTGGCAGTCCAGGGGGTGGAAGAACTGAGGGGGCTATTATGCCTCATCATCAATGCCTCCTTCAGAGAGGGTAGGGGTCCTGCCTGTCTGAAGGAGCCTCTAGTACGGCCTCTTCTCAAGAAACCTAGTCTGAAACCCCTGGACCTTAATAATTTTAAACCAGTCTCAAGCTTTAAAAAATTATTTATTTGTTAGGATTGGACACTGTGTTTGGGGTTTAAATGTTTGTAAACCACCCAGAGAGCCCACCGGGCTATTGGGGTGATATATAAATGCAAGAAGTAAAAAAAACAAAGATAAAAAAGCATACCATTTCTTTTCAAGGTGTCCATGAGGGCAGCACCTCTCCACCTCCAGGCAGTCCTGAGTGATACTGTTTTTCTGGACCCATTTCGTACTGGCTGTAAAGCAGGACATGGAGCTGGGACTGCCTCGGTCACTCTAGCGGGTGATGTCACTCACCTAGAGCAGTGGTGCTGGATGTTACCTGCAAGCAGGTGGCATCTAGGACTACACCTCCTTGCCGCCATCTGCTGCTTCTTCCACAGACCGCAGCTCCGCTCTGAATGACTTCCTGAACCTGGCAATGGGCTGGATAGGAAAAAACCAAACCGAACCGAAGTTAAATTCAGACAAAGGAGATGTGCTTGCTGTGAAGGGTCAGATTAGAGGTGTATCAACAGGTTCTAGATGGGGGCATGCTCCCCCTGAAAGACCAGCTTGGAGATGCTGATCCACCCAGATCCACCCAGACAAAAGCTCAGATTCGCCCACTGCGCCCCTTTCTGGAGAAGAATGAGCTGAAAACTAGTTCACACATTGCTAACTTCTAGGTTTGGTTTCTGCAACATGGTCTACACAAGGCTACCCTTGTTTCTACCCTGGAAACTGCAACTAGTACAAGATATGGCAGCCACCTAGTCTCTGGGACATCATGGAAAGACAACATATCACCTATTTTAAAGTCTTTGCACTGGTTCCAAGACATTTCCAGATACAGTTCTAGGTATTATCTTAATTACCTTTAAAGCCCTTCATGGCTTGGGTCCAAAATACCTTTAGGGGAACCTTTGCCCATACATTCTGCCTCACTAGCTTGGGTCCTCTGGAATAACCCTTTGAAGTCTACTTCTGTAAGATTAACTACCCAGAGGACTTTCCCAGTGGTTGCCCTGAAGCTGTGGCAGGGTCTGCCAGAAGAGTTGCGTCGGATTTCCCAAATCCCCATTTTTAAGAGGCAGTTAGAAATGTATCTCTTCCATCTGGCCTTCCTATATTAGTTCTCATGTCAGTGTTATTTAATATGTTGTCTTCGTCAATTTTAATCATGGTTGGCTTTAATTTCTTGTACACCATCCAGAGCCTATGGGAATGGAGCTGTATATAAATATGAAGATAAAGATTAAAAAGATATAGATGTAAAGAGGGTGAGGCAAAAGACATGGTGGTGGCAGGAAGGAACCACCTAAATATTCTATTAGGCAGCAAGGAATGGGGAGAGAGTGGTGTGGTTGTACCAATTAAGGAGGTTAATATTGCTTAATGAATCCTAACTGGCTAACCAGGCAAGAGTCACTGGAGAAGACTATCATGCTAGGGAAAGTCAAAGGCAGAAGAAGGGAAGACCAAATAAGATGGATCAGTACCATTAAGAAAACCACAGCCTTGAGTTTACAAGAGCTGAACAGGAATTTTGGAGAGCATTGTTTCATGTGGGTACCATATGTCAGAGATGATTTGATGGCACGTAACAAGAATACTATTGGTTAAGGCAAAATATGACCAATACTGTTGGGACCAGGGTATAAAGCCCTTTATTACTGTTTAGACAAAACCAAAAGTAATACACCTGGGAAATGTAGAGTTCTGCCTGTTTAGACAGAAAAAGAATTGCACATTGAACCTGGTGCATATTGTACCAATGACCTCAACAGCTGTGCTGGCTGGCTATGAATGAACGTGCAAAATCTCACAGCAAAAAGCTTCATATGATTAGACATCTAGTGACATACAAACAATGGCTGCATAAATCATGTCCACCTTTTTCTAATGGCCCAAATACGCTACGCTTTTGATCAGTACATCTTCATGACCAAAGTGCATTTGCTACGCAAGTGTAATAATAGCAGAAATATCTCCAATGAGAAGTCTTACAGAAACACCAAGTTGTATGCAAAAACAGTGGGGGAGAGTAATAAATGGCTTGCTGCACGCCTATCTCGGCTCCTAAAAGGACTCAAAAGGGACACTTTCTAAACATGAGGCTGCTGCTCAGATTGCTCAGCTATTCTGCAACCTCAGGCAAGGTCAAAGGAAGATTTTCTGCATGCACAGAGCAAAATTTTAGGACATTTCTTCCACATAAACCACTGAACCTATCCTTCTGAAACTTTGTGGGTTTCTTCTTTATGGCTACCTTTAGGTGTCTGTCATCTTTAAACCACAAAGAGCAAAGGATGATAAGCACACCCTCTGTGGAGTACCTTCAGCATGAAAAACTTGCCCTTACGCGTGCACGCGCACGCGCGCGCGCGCGCACACACACACACACACACACACACACACACACACACACACACAATCTACCATACCTATTCACCTGAGATTTGGCAAGTTTGGTCCATTAAGAAGAAGCAACTACCCAAATAAATGTCATCCAATTCTGCTGAGAAATTAAAAAGTATCCACAATTCTTTTACAGCAAATCAAAATATGAGGGCACCTAGGAAAATGACAATGCCCTGCACCTATTGTTCTGAAAATCAGCAGGTGTAATTTCCTCTGAAGGGATTTCCATGTCTGTTCATTTCACCCAAAGTTAAAGTGATTTTGGATGTCCCATGATAGCCACTGGGAGGTGCAAAATTCCCCAAATCCAAACTTGGGTTCAGTGCCTGACTCAAGCTGAAGGGCCAGCAAATCAATCTGAGCTAGATTGGGCCATTTTCCAAAGCACCAAATCAGGTTCTGAGTCAAACTTTGTGATCAATGTGCACCTCTGATGTGTGTGGATGTGTCTGTGTGCACCTGCCTATAGTGTGTGTGTGTGTGTCCCACATGTATGTCCTGCATCAGAAGAATCAGGAAAGCTCTGACGTCAAATCTTGCGGCCCATTGGCTGTATCAGCTTCCTTTACTGCAGGTGAGACATTTGACATGTATCTGCCTGTTGACAATAACATTCAGACCAACCCAGTGCGTGTGTAGAGTCAGGTGTCTCTCAGGAAAAGGACTGGAGGAAGACAGTCCAAACGTTTTCTGACTTGTACTTGCAAGATTTGGTTATTTTTAAGCAAATATGCCTTGCACTCTACAGACATTGGCCCACACTTGATGGCACGTATACGACTGTCATGAGCTATTTGTATCTGAGTATGAAAAATGTAGTTAAATGTTGCCCTTCTGGCACTTGCAGCCTGGTGTGGCTGATTGCCCAGCACAGAGACATATTGCAACCTCACAGATCTGTTGTTCAAACCTGCCATTTTTTTAAAAATCCCTTTGACCAATGGAAGCAAAGGGAATGTCTGTTGGTTGACACAGGCTACAGTCCTAGGGACAAATTCTTGGCAATTAGTTATACTGAACTCAAAGAGGGTGTCCTTTTTGAAAACATGAGTAGATTCACAACCTGGGCTGGCCCAGGACTTTTTTCTTGGGTAGCTACTTACACATTGCCAAAAGAGAGGAAATGCACCACTGATGGGACAGAAAATATACATTTGGATAACATTTGCATAGGTGTATTTAATAGATGCAAATATAAAAGCAAAACTGCATATGATTCAAACAGAAATGAAATACACCACACCATAAAGAGGAAAGATGTTCTCCAGGTGCTTAGTGGGAATGGGCATTTTCAAGGCCAGCTTAGCAAGGATAGGCCTTAAAATTGACCAGGAATATAAAACCCCTTTCAACCCAAAGGCTGGATTCAATGACATTGAAGCACCTGGGAGCACCATGTGGGACTTGCACAGGTCCAAAGGCTGAAAAGGTGAGCCAAAATATACCAGATATGTGTGTGTGTGTGTGTGCATTGCCAGCATATTGCAAGCAGAAAGGCTGGAACTACAGGTAACTAAGGCTGAGGGGATCCCCACTAGAGTCTCTCCTGTGTATGAGGGAGCTCAGTTAGGGTATTTATGCAAAATGCATTTATGGCTAATGAGGCACATGCTGGTGAATCCAGCAGTTTCCACTATGCTGAAAACGTGATCTTGTGCCACACACAAATGCAATTGTGTGTGAAGTTGGAAGAGTTGGAAAGAGGATGTGTACAGAAAAATAGTCCTTTAAAAAGTATCCCCCTGCCCACCCCCTTGAGTTATGCTCAAGTGCAAAGGAGCAATTGTTTGGAAAGGAAAAATCTTGACAGCTCTTCCTGCCCCCGCACAACAAATCATGGAGGAAAAGGTGGTGGGGAAAGAAGAGTGGGAAGCTACGCCTCTATCCTCGCACCTACCTATGGATGAGGTCAGTGGGGCAGCACTTCCTGTTGCCCCTACTCACAAGTAAGTGCGGCCCCCTCCTGTGCTGACTGTCCACAGAGTAAGTGCCACTGAAGTCAGTGGGAGTCACTTCTGCACAAGCACCGTTGAAGATAATGTGATGGTTGAAGATAATGTGATCTACTTTTGAGTAGGGTGTGCTTTCAGCTGTCTATTTCTTCAGAGGAGAGAGAGAGAGAGAGAGAGAGAGAGAGAGAGAGAGAGAGAGAGAGGAGAAAGGAGTATTGTGTTCATTCTCCGACTCACTGGACAAGTCAGAGAGAAGAGGGGAAAGGAATGTGACAGGGGAAGAAAGCAACTGAAGTCTTTGCAGGGAAAGGGAGTTGTGGTCAGGGGAGTAGCCATCTGGACACCCCTGTATTGGGACCTCAGGAGATCCAGACCAGGGTCCTGAACTGAAGAGTCTCCACTCCTTAAACAGAGGACTGTCCTCTGAGAAATTGCCACCTTAGGCAAAGAACATCACACACACACACACAAACCACATCTTTCTGCATTCAGAAGCCAATGAGTTGAGCAGTTGAATCTCAATTCAGTTAATGTGTGGACTGAGCAGATAGCCAGGTCACCTGGCCATGGGATGCCATTCACTGTATCAGAGGGCAGCAGGCTTACCTAGGAGGCACAAGCCAGGCTGCATTGCACTCACAGTTCGGTTCCCCAGTAGCTTTCCATGGGTCCCCTTGCCACAGCACAAAAGTGAGTTTACACAGCGGAAAAGAAAACAATGAAACATAACAAGGAAAATGCAACAGAGAATGAAGCCATTTCTACTTTCTTGCACACTTCTTTCTCACATGTAAGAGAAAAAGTCAGACGATCCCAGGGGCAATGCTGAAGGAAGGACAGAAAGTACATTGCAGCCCTAAGACTGCATGGTTTGTCCCTCACTGACTGAGATCCCAGAGGAGGCTGCAGACATGGAACTGCACTTCCCTCCCCATCCCTGGCCTGGCCCACCATCCTGGAACTTTGCCTATGCAAAATGCTCCTTCCAAAAACACGCTCTGACCAATAGTGATGACAAGCCATTTTGCTACCTTCTTTGATTATGAAAAATAGCATAAAGGGGGTTGTGGCTTAGTTTGATCACATGCTGGGCTCCGAATCATCCTAAAGGGTTTTTATATTTATAAGATTACAATATAATCTTATAACACCTTTTATTGTAAGCCATCCTGAGATGCCAGTGGTGGACAGGGTACAAAAGTTTTAAATAAATGAACAAACAAAATTATATTACAGTTGCGGCATCAGCTACCAAACACCACAGTACTTTCAATGGCAACCAATCAAAGATGGCTCCAGGAGTGAACCTGGTCTGTTGCACTGGACTCTCAAAGCTTCTGTGAATTTTGCTGCTGTTCTGAAGGGGGTGGTGGGAAGCAGAAACCTTTTATAGCTTCAGCTATACAGATGGCCACATCTTTGCAGCTGGAGTACTGGATTGCAATGGAGGTAGAAGAAGGGAAAGTATTTCCCCTTTTCTCCTTTAGAGGGCTCCTGCACTCTGCAGAACGGATAGAAATGCCATGGGAGGAACCTTTCACCATCTTTGCATTAGGGAAACACCTGACCTGTTGAATTTCTGCGTGGGGCATGGTTATGAAACAGTCAGCAGCCCTCTTGGCAAAAGCAGAAGCAATCTTATTTCTCAGTACTCAGTTCTTGGTCCTAATCAGTCGTAGGCACATCCCTACACTGGTGCTGCGGGGTCATGGCCAGAGTGCTGGATGGTCAGATTGCTAGACTGGAACTCAGGTGATCTTGGTTCTAGTCCCCATGAACCTCACTGGGGCCAGTCATGGACTCTCAGCTTCACTTACATCCAGGGCTGCTGTGAGGATAACACAAAGAGAAGGGAGGAAACTTGTCAGCTGCTTTGCAAGAGGAATAAAGGTGGTGTATAAATATAATGTCATAATAATAGAAATGTCCTTTTCAAAGGAAATGGCATGGTTAGATACTTCAAAACCTTACAGATGCAAAAACTGGTACTAAGCAGTGTGGCAGGAGTGAGAATAGATTACCATGTAGTTCTGCTTAGAAGTCCCTCTATGGCCCTGTTCAGAAACAGTGGCAGCACATGGTGGCAATTCATGGGCTGATTAACCTGAAGATCGCAGAGATGCATGCTGCCCATGAGCTGCTTCCAGTTTCCTGGCACAAGACTCTTAGCCTAACCTACTTTACAGGGTTGTTGTGTTGTGAGGACAAAGTGGAGAGGAGGAAACCCTATAAACTGCCTTGCAAGAAGAAGAAAGACAGGACCTAAATCTAAAAAGACAGGGCCTAAATCTAACCGCTCACCAAGTCACAGTCCTTATCCCCATTACGGTAGCCCTGACAACAGCATAAAAATAAATTATCCAGAAATACCCACATACATGTTTGGAGCTATATTATTACTTTTACGTTACATTTACACTCAATATTCTTTCTTCCGGCAAGGCAGCTTACACAGTTCTCCTTCACTTCCTTTTATCATCACAACAACAACCCTGCAAGGTAGGATAAGCTGAGAGCAAGTGAATGAAGTGATCATTTCAGACTGCAAGGCAGACTGTGAGGCAGTGATGAAAGTCTTCTGGCTGTTCTTGCTGAATGACATTGTCTGCTCTCCCTACAGCAGGCTCTGCCTCAGTTGTGGTGAAGAGCATTCTGTCTTTGCCGGGGATGAAGGAACTGCTCATGTTGGCTTTGGTGCATGATATGGGGAAGGGGTACCATATTGCCCTTTGCCTCAGCCAGAAAAATGTTATGGGGTGGCCATGCTTAAAGATAGACCAAAATGGTGTTCTGAGAGACTGGATAAAACAGGCAATGTTCACTGTGCTTCCTTTCCAGGAGACAAAGGACCAGCTGGCGATACGGGTGATCAGGGAATGATGGGTAAAATTGGACCAGTTGGCAGAAAGGGTAAGATTTCCTAATCCTTGGTCAAGCTTTTTGGAAATGTTGTAAGGCACAGAGCAAAACATGAAACAGCTGCTGTTTATGCTTCCCAAATTAAACAGATGGTGTTGCTTTCCAAAACAAAACCATACTATTAAATTAGATCTTATGCCTCTTACCCCTGGCTAGGAGACATGAAGGCCTGAGGTAAACCAGGCATTGCCTACAACTTTTCAAAAATACATTTGCACACTTAAAGGCTAATCATTGTAGAATCGTAGAATAGTAGAGTTGGAAGGGGCCAGAAGACCATTGGATCCAATCCCCTGCTGGGTGCAGAACACCAAGTAAAACCATCCCTCTCAGATGGCTGTCCAGTTGCATCTTGAATGCCTCCAGTGTGGGAGAGCCCACCACCTCCCTAGGACATTGTTTCCAGTGTCATACAGCTCTTAGAGTCAGGAAATTTTTCCTCACATTTAGCCAGAATCTGGCTCTGTAACTTGAGCCCATTATTCCATGTCCTGTGCTCAGGGAAGATTAAGAGATCCTGTCCTTCCTCTTTGTGACAGCCTTTCCTTCTCTTCTCAAGGCTGAGCCTGCCCAGTTCTTTCAATCTCTCCTCATAGGGCTTTGTTTCCAGTCCCTGGAACCTCCTTGTTGCCCTCCTCTGAACCCTTTCCAGCTTGTCTGCATCTTTCTGCAACTGTGATGCCCAGAACTGGACACAGGACTCCAGATGACGCCTAACCAGTGCAGAGTAAAGGGCAACTAGTACTTCATGGGATGTGGAAGTGATACTTCGATTAATGCAGCCTAAAATAGCATTTGCCCTTTTTGAAGCCACTTCACTTTGTTGACTCATATTCAGCTTGTGATCTACAACAATTCCAAGACCCTCCTCATTTGCAGTATTTTTGAGCCAAGTATTTGCAATAAAAGCTAAGATTTCCCAGCCCCGTGTTCCGTACATATAGTTATAACATATTGTTTAGGACCTGCACATTAAAAAATATCTAAACCTCAATGGAAGGAAAAACATCTCCTGATAAAGCACAGAATTCCTGCTGTTTACATTAAAAACAAGCATGCATGCACCCTGCCAAAGCCCTAAAAAAGTAATAGATTTTTGGTGGTTTAAACTTTGATGCATACTGTTTGTGAAAAAATGAAGCCTAATACTACAAAATATAAAAGATACAATACTCATTTATTTCTTTAACAATAATTACCAATCACTGTATAATAAAAGCAATTTCTAAGTGATGTATAGAAGGCAAGAATGCCTTCCTTGAAATCCATGTTGGAAAAGGTTTGTTTTTAGTAGGCACCATAAATCCTTCGGGATTTTGGTACCCAAGTTGTACCAAGGGAGAGAGACTAAGGGCACAATTCTGGGCATGTTTAGACAGAAAGAAAAAGCCGTGCTATTCCAGCATGCATCAGCCTAGCTGTAGGACATTTCTGTCCGAACACATATAAGAAGGCACCCTAAAGATCCTGCTATGAGCCATGCAGGATTAAACCTCTCAAATCTGTATGCTATATTTTAAAATTATTTTAAAAGTTTTGGGAACCACCCAGATTGCTTCAGCTATTGAACAATATAGAGTCGTTGTTGTAGTTGACCAATACTACCAGGCAGATTTCTCCTGCTGAGTCCCATATCAAGTAGAAGGCAGGTAGAAAAACACACAATTTCTTTATTGTGACTCATTTTATGGTTGCAACTCTCGCTGGAAGGGGTGCCTGCAAGGCATCCTAGAAACATTTCAGTGCCGTAAAATAACTCTACTGGGTGCTCAGAGCCCTCTCCTGCACAGTCAATGGGCATGCGAGCAAGTCGGATTATATCTGATAGCCCCCATCAGGGAAAAACCGTAACTAGGTGGTAAAGTGCTTGCTTTGCCTGGAAAAGATCCCAGGTCCACTTCTCAGCATCTCTCCTTAATGTGCAGGAAACCTCTTGTTTGAAGCTCAAGAGAGCTGCTACCAGTCAGCTAGCTGGATCAGTGGGCTCTCCAGCCATAAAGCAGCTTCCTATGGTCTGCTTCCACAAGCCAGGCTGCCTGACCCCAGTGCATCCACCAGCTGTGCCCGCAAAGGGAGGGGACCTATGCATGTGCATATATATATATATGGCTCCTCCATACTAGGAGGAACCTTGGCAAATCAAGCTCCATATGTATTGCTCTTATATGTTCCATGCATACACTTGGTGTATGGACATGCACATGGTAGGCATGAGATGGGCTGGAGCTGGGGGTCAGACTAGATGGCCCAGGAGACCCCTTCTGGCTCGCTCTGTTTCTTTGTTTTTATGTATAAGCTATCTCTATGACCATTTGCAACAGCAGTCATTAACAATAACATAACCTTCCTAGCTTTGCTGTGCTACCTTCCTGTAGTGGAAGATAAAATGTAAACCTTGATTTAATCTTACATGAATAGAGTTGAACCTGCTGAACATCCTAGTTCAGCGAATTCTCTCCAGAGTCTCTCTTTAAAGTTCCTTTAATGGAGAATGCTAATTTTCAGGTCAGCAAGACAGTGCTGTGGGGGAACTGAAGCAGCATTAATTTTTTAAAAAAGATGTGGCATGCATTGATATAGCACAGCACTGGAGGGCCACACTCAGTGATTTTAACACTTGCAAAAGCCATTTGCCAGAAAATACAGCAAGATCCAAAGAATCAGAGGCAAGAGTGATTCTCTGATGCTGCCATCCACTCAGTTACAAACAATTATCCATCTCGTGTTTGCGGCTACTTATCCAAGCAGGGACAGATTATTCAGCTCTGTCTAGCTGCAGAGATCTGCACTTTTAATGTGTCAGCTATTAAAGCTTGCTGCTTGGGTTTGCCAAAAGGAAAGCTCAACAGAGCAGCCCTGTGCACGTATTCTCAGGAAAACATCCCGCTGCATTCAGTGGAACCTACTCAGATGCAAGTGTTAGTAGGGCTTGAGTGTTTAATTTGGCACACCACTTGCCCATCTCTCCAAATCCACTCAGCAAGTGTTAATGCAATAAAGCAAGAACATTTGCCTGTGTTTGCATCTCCTGAATCTATTTTTTTTTTTTTTAATTTAGGTGACAAAGGACTGAAAGGTTTCTCTGGCGTATCTGGAGGAAAGGGCAAAGCAGGTTTGCTGTTTGCTTTTCTTGTATTTCCTAAGCAATTGCATTTCTAAGCTAGGCATGGCCTCAGAGCACTATGCTCTCCAGGCTGCAGTTCCAGGCAGTAGGACAACCCTGCTCTGGCTTCCCGCAAGGCGGCATTTCCCAAATGTGCTGGACTACCAGCAGCCCAAGCCATGTTCTGCTGGAGGCAAAGGATAAGAGGACGCTCCCCTCCTGTTTCAAGTACAGAGGCCATGTGGCTTGGGAGCTGAATCGTAATTCAGTGCTGATCACGGTGTGGTCTCCTCGATCGTATCTTAGGCAGCAGACTAGTTTCGGGGGGCCTGAACTGTCTGCGTGGCATCCACAGGCTGCCCTCTAACCATGGGAAATGCCTGGCAGCTCCAGAGGAACAGCTGGGGAGGCAGCTGCTGCTGTTCCCCAGCACTGGCTGCCTGAGGCAGCTGCTCAACTCTGCCTAAGGATAGGGCCAGTTTTGATTGCAAGCCCATGAAACTAAGGCCATGCTGGCAGAGAACGATGCGAATCATAACCTAGCACTCCCCTTCACCATGGCAACCTGCATATTCATCCTCCCCTTACCCTGGACCAATCAACAGTGATGCAGAACAGGAGGAGGATCAGGAGATGCTCTGGCCTGCATAGGCTCTCTACCCACCAAGCTAGCAAGTGGTAGCCATGATAAGGAAGAGAATCAGAAGCAATAGCAGCTGGTGACTATGGTGCTGAGAAAGTGGACTCATGAGAGAGGGTGCCCAGTGAGGATGTCTTCCCGAAGGACCCTCAGGCACCTGGATCCATCACTGCCTGGTTCAGGTATAATGGCAAACCACGGTTAGCAACATTTAGTTTATTTCTCTATATTTGAGGCAAAAGGTAGCTATGATTCTATGAATTTTCATAGGCATTTGACTGCATATGACTATATTGATGGGTGCTCCTTGATCTTACAATATGGATGCATTTTGTATGGCTGCTTATGTATACCCACTTGGATATCCTTTGTTGCTCATATACAAACATTGAGCTAGGTGCTGTCTGTGACTGTGGAAAATATCGGAAAGTTGTCGGACAACTGGATATTAACATCGCTCGGCTGAAGAGTTCCATCCAGTTTGTCAAGAATGGTATGTGTCATCTCCAGCAGTGGTCATAAAGCACATTTACGATTCTGTCTTGACAGTGCAACAGAATGACGGGGGTTAGGATGGTTTTGGGGGGAATGTGCTTTCCTAATATCTGAGAAGCAATGGCAGTATTCCGCTCAAAGCACCAGTAGGATCCCTTGGGGAATGATGAGGTCAGTCTTGGGTGCCATGCCACAATTCAAAAAGGCAAGCTGACAAGTCACCTAGGCGGGGCGGTTTAACTTGAAATCTGCATTGAACGGGGGTTGGACCTGTTGGCCTTCTTGCCCCCCCTTCCAATTCTATGATTCTACATTGGGAAGAAATATTCCTACGACAAAACAGAACTGAACAAGAAAAAGATCTTGGATTAATTGTGGATAATAGGCTTAACATGAGCCAACAATGTGATGCAGCCACCAAAAGGACAAATGCTATTTTGAGATGCGTTAACAGAAGCAGTACTTCCAAATATGAGAAGTAGTAGTTCCTCTATACTGCTCACAAATCAGGCTTCATCTGGAATACTGTGTCCAGTTCTGGGCACCAAGATTTAAGAAAGATGCAGGTAAATTAGAAAGGGTCCAGTGGAGGGCAACAAAAATGATCCAGGGTTTGGAAACACTGTCCTATGAGGAGAGACTGAGGGAACTGGGCATGCTCAGCCCTGAGAAGAGAAGACTAGGCGGGGGCATGATATCCATCTATACGTACCTCAAAGGCTGTCACAAAGAGGAAGGTCAAGACCTCTTCTTCCTGATGCCAGAGTGTAGAACACGGAATAATCAGTTCAAGTTGCAACAACCCAGATTCTGGCTGGGCATCAGGAAAAGCTTCTTCTCTGTCAGAGCGATAGAACAGTGGAACCAGCTGCCTAGAGAAGGGGTGAGCTCAAAGAGACACTCAAAGAGCTCAAAGAGACACTCAAAAAGAAATTGGACAGCCATCTGCATGGGATGGTGTAACGTGGTGTCCTGCAACAGCAGGGGGTTGGACCCGAACTCTACTATTCTATGATTGTATGAAAAGACAGGGTGCTAAGGAAGAGGACAAGTAATTCTACAAAGGACCTGAATTAGCACAGCCACACGTCCTGCTTTACAGAGGACAGGGATGTCTGGCTAAAGACAACGACCCATACAAATGGAAGGCAGCCATGGCCTAACCAAAGAAAAAACCAGATAGCAGACTGGGCCACAGTTTTCTTCGGCATGGTGTGGGAGTCCATTTCTGTTAAGTTATAGTAATCATCTCTAAATTTGCATTTATACACATAAATTAGGTCATACAAATGTATAACATCTTTTTTCCTCTTTTTTGTTATGCATCTCCTTTTTGGTGATGTATAAGATGCATTAAGCTGAATTTACTTAGAACAGGAGAAATGAAATTGGGGGATGGATAGCTTATCGGCATTCAGATATCTCAAGAAAGCGTCTGGCACAGTCTGCACACTGGTGCTGGTTTCTGAGCAAGTGCATGTGAACAGCGCGCATGTGAAACCCTCCCTCATTGCTGATTGTGTGTATTTTAAAGGAGAAAACTGGAATGTATCAATACACACGTTGGCGATGCATTCCTGGTATCTGCACCAGGTCACAAAATTAATCTCAGCATTTAAAGGGCGTAAAAAGATGTTAGAAAAGGGATGCCAGCTGCTTAAGGGGAGAAATACCTTCCTATAATTATGGCTCATCAGAAAGAAGAAAAATATATTCAAGCCATTTGAGGGGCTTCCATCCATGATGTAGCAGAATTCAGGGGTGACAATAGCATAGCAAAAAGCACAAGCTAATGGGCATTTTAATTTGTTATCATACCTGGACTGGCTCAAATGACCATTTAGATTATTACAATGTTATTGTTTCTTACCATGGTTTCGCAAGACTAAACTTGCCATTGCAAAATACCATTAGTGGGTTCAGACAACACAGTAGACCTAAAATGGTTTTTTAAAAAGGAAAAACACCATAATTTGTTGTATGTTTTATTTTATCGTATTTTTCTTTTAATCATTAAAAGATTAAATGCTATATTTGTGAGCCTTCCAGGTAATGTCTGTTATGAGACACCTATATAAATATATGCATTCATATTTAATTAATCCCCAGTCAATCCCCAACTGTATTTCATGTGTGCGATGAGCACGGTTCTGGAATTAAGGCTAGTTTGTGAGCGTGCTGGAAGGGCTTTTGTTTTTGCTTTTAACAAAGCCCTTTCTGTCTCTCCTTCCAAAGTTTTAGCAGGTATCAGGGAAACAGAAGAGAAATACTATTACATTGTGCAGGAGGAAAAGAGCTACAAGGAAGCCCTCAATGACTGCCAGATTCGAGATGGAATCCTTGCAATGCCCAAGGATGAGGCTGCCAATGCGGTGATCGCCGACTACGTGTCCAAGAGTGGCCTTTTCCGAGTCTTTATTGGGGTGAGTGACATGGAGAAGGAGGGCCAGTTCATGTATGCTGACGGTACCCTATTGCAGGACTACAGCAACTGGAAGGAAGGAGAGCCACAGGACCCCTTGGGGCAAGAAGACTGTGTGGAAATGCTCAGCTCGGGGAAATGGAATGACACAGAGTGCCACCTCACGATGTACTTTGTCTGTGAGTTCCCAAAGAAGAGAAATTAAGGCTCTGGAGAGCGTCCACGTGGTCCACCACAAGGTGGTTCTCCATAAGCCAGCTAAAGAGTTAAGATTCTAGGAGGACAACTTGCTTCTGGCGCAAGGATGTCGCACAATAATAGGATGTTATACTCTAAACGATGGGAATTAACCCCAAATAGATGTTTTGGTAAGGCAGTCTGCAGTGGAGACTTGTATCACCTGCTAAGTCTCTCCGTCAGGTCTGCTGTATATTAAAAGTGAGCAACCGTCAACAACCAGGCACCCTCCAGATTCACTGGTGACAACTCCCATCAGCCCCAGCCAGCATGCTGACTAGGGATGATGGGGATAGTAGAGGCAACTTTTAGAGGGCACCATGTTGGGGAAAGCGAAAAGGGCACATCTTCACTATTTTCTCCCATTACTCTTGCTTCCCATGCTCTGCAGAAATACATCTTGGATACACACACACGCCTGGCTACAGGCAAAAACTGGCGAATGGTGGAGAGATTGCTGGCTCCTTTTTAGCCCTGCTTAAGCTCTGCAATCATCTTCAAATGGTTGCTCCACATCTTGTAGTTGCTCATCTGGCAGTGACCAGAGAGAGAGAAATTTCTCTGCAATGGAGGCCAAGCTCTGGAACAGGTTTTCTTCAGATGCAAGACATGGGCCAATCTGGCTGCACTGTTGGTGCATGCTAAAGATCTTGCAGCTTACTTTGGAATCTGGCAGTTTGCAACATCAGCTGTCATGACAGGATGCACTCTTATGCATATGGAGATAGATGAAAACACCCAGCATGCCCCAGGCAGCATGTAGGACTTTTGCCTGTCTCCACATGCACAAGATTGTACCCTATGCTGCTCCTGAGCATTATAGATGTTGGAGAGTCTTGGGTTTTATTATATTTGTAGAAAGGGGACTTCGACTCTTTTTATTCTTATTTCTTATGCACCACCTGCAGATGAGAACATGACAGGTAGTATATAAAAACTGAAAATAGATGCATGCATAAATATCTGTGAGAAGTGCCATGGCCACCAGAGAATGAAGAAAGGAGATCTTCAGCGTGGATGGTTGTCAAGCTCTGGCAGCAAGCCTCAAAATATTTACTATCTGTGGCTGAAGGTATGTTCCACTGAATGCAATGAGATACACGTGCAGAAGAATATGGTGGCAGAACAGGTGCAGATAACGGTTAGGAGTGCTTCCAGCAACTATAAAACCTGCACAGCGGACAAAGGGGCATTTTACATGGGAAGCATTCAGAACTGGTGTCCCCCAACACCAGCCCGCTGCAGTGCTAACGTTCATGCTACCGTTGCGGTCATGTTCCCCCCGCCTGCGTAAATCTAGTCTTCTTTCCCAGTATGCGCATCTTGCAGTGTTATGCTAAAGCAGCTGTTGGGTGGTTTGAGATGCTTTCAAGGGGATGTTACTTAGAACCATCTGGGGACACCAGTTCTCCAAGAAGATGCTACCCATGGGGCCCAACTACCTCACAGAATGGTTGTGGGATCAGAATACAACACAAGCTGAAATACACACTGCAACATGAAATGTTGCATTATAAAATGATATGTTGTAAAAATGCCCTTGGATGCTATTTTTGTTGGCTTGTTCGTTTGCTTCATTTCATTTCTGTACTACCCAACAGTCAAAGTTCCCTGGGCAGTTCACAAAATATAAAACACAGATTGAATAAAATACAAAATAAAATACAAATGCAATAAAATACTTCATAACATTTCATTATGTACAACTTAAGCCAGTTTATACAGCTGAAACAATTTCAATTTTAAGATGATTAGCCTGGTTAAAGCAGCCATCCAATGCCTGGGAATACAGGACAGTCTTACCATAGGGCCAAAAAGTTGGTGCTGGATGGATCTTACTGACATCTTTCCATAACTGAGGAGCCACCACCAAGAAGTTCCCATTTGCTGCCACCTTCTAAGCCTCTTTTGCAGGTGGCACTCAAAGGCAGTCCTTACATATAGTTTAGTTTAAACTAAAAAGTACCTTTGCAAACAACTGAAGTACCCTTCCCCAACCTGGTGGCCTCAGCTATGATGGACTACAGCTCCCATTATCCCCAGTCAGCATGGCCAATGCACAGGGCCGATGGGAGTCATAGTCCAGAACATCTGGAAGGCACCCTGGTGGGGAAGAGTAAGCCATGGCCCGGTGCCCACCTCACAGCCTGGTTCCAACCAACAGAAGGGGAAGTGGTTGAAATCATGTCCTGCTCAGCTCTTTGGGGCCTCTTTCTGGGTGTCATTCGTTTTGTCCCAGCTGAGAGCACAACAAGCAGAGGAACTTGAATTGCAGGTTAGCTAGGGAGACAGTGCTTGAGTCATGAACTTCCTGGGATGGGTGCGATCATTCAGGTAAACCAGTGCCTCTGGCAGAGGTGCTGAAAGGAGCGATAGGAATGACCCCACAGCTCAGAGCAATGACATCCACAACAATACCGGAAGGTCAAGTACTGTCCAGATCTAGTTGGCCCTGCAAGGAAACACTGGAAAGCAGAAAAAGAGGGGGTGTGAAGACATCATCTGTTGTATACGATGTTCTTTGGAAGCAGATCTGATTAATGTTTGCATGGAAGTACGTCACAGAGGCCCATAGGGCTCAGTCCCAAGTAAGTTCAGGGTGACCTGTAAAAAAAGAAGTCACGCAGCATTGCAACAGAATATTTCAAGTTGCATAAGGTGTGTGTGTGTGCACATTTAGAAAGACTTGCTATAACTTAGGGAGCCATCCTATGCTACTTAGGCAGAAAAGACCTACAATGCCTCAGCTGAGAGTAAGTCCTTTTTTCTGCTGAATTGCATAGGATTGCACCTTTAAAGGGAAATATAATATATCTCACAGTCCATTTCCAGGCAGATTCTAACTTTTAAACCCTATGCAAGGTCCAACAGAAAAACAGAATACAATTTCCAGCATGCTGGACATTGCAGCTCTTATTTCTGTTCGGACATGCAGAGGACTGTGCCTTTTAAAAGACATGCATTAATGCACCACAATGAGAAAGACTGTGAACAGGTGAACCAGGCACCCATCTGCCTCATCTAGTGCTCAGGTGCTCCCTGTTGGTGGCTAACTTCATGTCCCCTGGATACTCACGCTTGGACTGGGCAACCTTAAAACAGAGGATGTCTTCAAAGAGGGACTGTTCTCTGTAAAGCAGACACATGCCCACCTGTCTATAGGATTGCATTGATAGGTCACTTTCACTGTCCATATAAGTGCCTGTTACCATGCGTGCTTATCTTAGATGCATGTACGAAGTGTGAAGCATGTTCTCCAAGATGTTCATTCACTCACAAAAACTGGTGTGGGGGAAGCAAGGAGGACCTTCCAACATTACCTGGAATCCAAAGGGACATCCATGGCAAAGGAGGCAATTCCAACAAACACACACACAGACACACAGAGGGAAAGAGCATTTACTGAGTAGAAACACAAATTTAAAATGCACATTACTTTGGGAGAAATAACTTGGAAGAACCATCGCAATTCAAAACCAAGCCGGATGAACCTTAAACCCTTCACTGAGATCCATTCTTCTGTCATAGACACTCTGGGGCTAAACTGACATACAGTTGTGGTTCAGGAGGAAGGAAATGTTGATGTGAGAGGTTGCCAGGAGGAGATGGAAAGCTCAAGAGTCCCTATCATTCTTGGGAAGGAAAAAGAAAGAGTTGGAGATGAGTGTAAGGGGGCAAGTGAGCTTTCTTTGAGCATTTTTTAAAAGATCAGGGAAAAATGCAGTATCTGTGAATCCAAAAGAATTTTTTTTTATTTGTATAAGTGCAATATTTCACTACACCACAGTGCCACCATGAGGTCAGGTTGCAGAAAAGCATGAAAGAAAGCACACCTTCTATAGGACCGGGATCTCAATTCTTCAACAAATTCAAAAGGAGATACAGCAGATGAATGGCCCCTTGCAGGAAAACTCCTCAGTATCCTCTTTAAGAGCCCCATCCCCCTGGAGCAATGCACAGGGGCAAGAAGATGCTGGAGTTTGCCTTGCTGCGGGTGGCTGAGCTGAAGCATGGGCAGTAGATCCCTGAAGGCCCAGGCACCCAATGAAAGGCGATGGCATCCCTTCCAATATTAACTGTGGCACATGGCCACTCTGGAACTGATGTGCAATTAGCATGGGATGTGAGAACTGCAGGCTAGAAGAAAGACCTTCCCCTCTCCAAGATCTTATAGCTGGTGTGCCTGACTGTCTTCCTGCCCCACCCTTAGCCTTCCCCCAAATTTTTCCCATGACGATGTTTCATCGTGCAGTTCTGGAGTCAACGTTCCACTCTCCAAGTTACATTAAAGGGGTGGAGTTCATAAAAACTTGTACAGTCTTGTTTAGCAGAGAATAGCATACCAGGACAGAATAACAAAGCAAACTAGGAAGAAATGCCTACAGTGAAAGGTGTGCATGTGTGTGCTGAAGGTGTGTTCACTCTTGGGCATGATTCAGCACTCACATCCGTGTTTCATTTTGAGTATATGTTTTGCACCATGCTGTGGGTACAAACTGAGGTCTGTTGTTGATTACGATGATGATAATGATGATGATTTTATTTGCTTAGAAGATGAAGTGCAAGCATCGACTCTCCAATTGCAGGCAATGGGCCTTGAAAAGGTGCTAAATTTAGCTGGATCATTGCCATTCTGCTGAAGTTAGGACTGGTCTACCCGTGTAGATTAATTGTGAGGTAGAATATTGGGGTGGTATCCTAGGGCCACATCCTGTGCATCAGCAGCACCCATCCCTTGCCGTGAGCATTACCATGTGAACTGTATCCTGCTAAGTTTCTTTGTAGACCGAGACAGAAACGTGTACCGAGCATATTCAATGAGAAAGATTCTTCCCCATCTCTTTCCTTGCTTTGCTGGCTTCCTACTTGCAGGGACAAGTGGAACAGTCCATTTTAGTCTACTATTCTGTTTCATATGTGTATAATACCAGCTGGAGCATGCTGGGAGTTGTAGGAATTTTTTCTTTATAAGCTAGCCCAGCAATATACCTTAAATCACCTTTGAGCCTGAAAGCTGAGTGCTTGTTTTAACCTATAAAGCCCTACACAGCTTTGGACCACACTGTCTGATGGCATGGCTCTCTCAACCTCATCCTATCCTGACCCTATGATTGTCATCCAGGACATTTCTGCTACGGAGTTACTATACAAATACTGTGCTTGTAACTACCAATGGCACTATTGCATTGCTCCTATACTTCCTGTTCCTGTGCCTCTTCTTACCTTTGACCCAGATGTAATAATACAGTGCTTCATGACCCCTCCGACTAACAGCTTGCAGTGTCGTCCGTTCTGTACATGAAACACTTTCTCCAACTGCCAACTCCAAGAGAACCCAGGAAAGAGGCCAGAAGGAAGAGGGCCTTCTCACTGGCGTCCCCCAGTTATGGAATTATCTCCCCAGTGACTCTCACCTGGCACCAACATGGCCATATTTTTGGCATCAGATTATAATTTCCCTCTGTTCCCAGGCATTTGTTTTCATTTAATGGCCTATGATGGGTTATGCCAGCCATCCTAATTAGGTCTACTTTTACCGAAATTGTTTTAGCTGTTTAATTCATCTGAAATTGTTTGAGATGTTTCTCATTTCTGCATATGGAAATTTTAAACTATTTATATTTTTACTGGAATTTTATAACGCCCTTTGATTTTAGCTGTAGCACTTTTTAATTGTATCTTTTTTTTCTCTGTATTGCTGAGTAATTGATGTGAAGTGCCCACAGGGTTTTAGCTATTGTGTGGTACAGCAATAAAATAAAGAATAGTGATTATCATCAAGTGGAAGAGAAAGCAGAACCAAGACATTTGTAACATACATGAGCATCCCAGACGGAGCAGGATTTACATTCATATTTTAAAGTAACTGCAGCAAAAGCCTTTACAACTCTGAGGTCTACTAATGTTGGCAGCAGGATTTAATACACATAAGATCAAATATGGAGCTAAATCCCTGCTTGAGGAACTGTAGTAGCATCTATTTCACAATAACACAAGGGGAACAGAGCTGCCTAGTTCACACTAAGAGTTTACCCAACCAAGTATCCAGCCTCCACCAGTGACGAGTTGCAAATGCAATGCACAAAATGAACATCAAAAGGACAAACTTCAGTTGGTAGATTAACCAGCTAAAGCTTTCTTTGATTAAACGGCAGGAATTAGTTTTAATCGGTTGCAGCCAACACACTCTTCTGAGGGTGTGTTGGTTCTGTTCACCTAGTCTAAAAGCGAATTTAAAAAAGAAAAAGAGATATGAAAGTAGGTCTTGGGTTCCATGCATTTGCTTTTCTTCTAAATGGATAATAAAATGTTAGTTACTATGGTGATTTTAAAAATCCCCACAAAACACTTTCTTGAGAAAGTAGCAAAATAGTTTTGATAGAAGCACTGCATGTTTCTAAAAGACATTCCAAACTAGAGTAGTGGTAATAGCCCAGATTGGACAAAATTCCAATAACATCTACTTTCCACTTTTTCACCCTGGTGTCCTCCAGATGTGTTGGACTACAGTTCCCATCATCCACCAACATTTTAGTCAATGGTCAAAGCTACCGGCAATGGTAAGGGAGCAGCAGGTTGTGGAAAGTTGTGTGAGGATTATGAAAATTCAGCTGCAAATGAAATGTTATCCTTCTTGTTCCTAGGGAGTGCTTCCCAGCATCACGCTCTTGCGTTAAACCACTGATTTAGTGATTCACAGAGCATAAAACACTTCTATGTGCTTGGCTCTCTGCTTGTAAAGCATGCACACAGACATCACAATTTATTATAACGTTACAAGTTACAACTCCTTGAAGGTGGTGTGTAACAACTTTTATTTCTTTGTGAGAAGAGACAAGGTAACAAGAAGAATGCAGGTGAACTGGCTTAAGTTTTGAAAATGGAACAGCAAAATACAAACCTGTTTGCTGACTTTTGGACTGAAGTATCCTTAATCAAGTGCTCTGGTTTACTAATTCTACTGAAGTCAAAGAAAAACCAAAAGAGCATATTGCATAAGTTTCCTGGGGATGGGCCCATTTTTTATAAACTGGTTGTAGTAATCTTGTATGGCTATGATTGCAGAAAAAAAACAATGACCTGTTTACCCAGTTAAGGAAACCAGACCTAAAAATAATTACTAAGTAGCAGGGATATGGCTTTTCTGAAAATTTTTGAACTGGATTTTTCCCATAATTTGCATTCAGTCATTTGCATAGCAATTTCTTTGGTTTCCATTGAAAAAGATTCTGATGTTCTGGCTTACAACTCCCATGATCCCTCACCATTACCTATGCTAGCTAGGGCTGCTGGGAGTTCCAAGCCAAAACATCTGGAGGACTGCAAGTTGCCCACCCCTATTGTAAAGGGATCTAATTCAACATGTTTACTATATTTGCATGAAAATGAAAAAACTCCAAAATGTCCTATTCTGGACAGGCTTGCTCAGCACCTGTAAATTCAGGTCTGTGGCTTCCTTTATGGAGACATTCCATCTAGTAGTTGGTCTTTTTCTTCTCCTGTCTTCGACTTGTCCTAACACTGTTGTTTTCTCCAGGGAGTTTTGCCTTCTCAGATATAACAGCCTCAGTTGTATCATTTTTGATTCCAGAGAAAGCTCTGCCTTGCTTTGATCTAGGACCCATTTTGAAAAAAAAAATCATTCTAATGCACCACAATTACTTAACCTGAAATATTAGAAGGGGAAATTCCAAATTATAAAGATCACAATCATATTACCCTCTGTAGCAGATGCATCTATGTCTCCAAATTTCAAGGCTTTGAGTATCTCAAAATGTCCCCCCATTTTTATAGAGTGGTTGTCAACGTTCCCCTGAATAGTTTAAATTTAAAGGGAGAAAAATGCTGTTAAAAACTATTGAAACACTAATACATTTCAGCAACACAAACAGCTTTGCACAAAATTCTGACAACTGGACTCCCATTTCAACACCCTCCCATTAGGGTTGTTGGGGCAACTTCTGTTTCACTGTCACTATTTATTAGTTTCATTTCAATCTGAGACACAGATGTACTTCGATAACGTATATGTACCCTCTCACATAATTGCCAGGGATAATCCCCTGAAGAACATGATTTACAACTTTTGCCTATTATTTCAGTTGTAATTGTTACACATTCATTTTTTAACAAATGAAACAGAACTTTTTCTGTGAAAAAGTGAAGCACTGGAAAAGTTTGCACCCTATAGCACTGCTGGGAAGCAACCCTTATTCAGCATTGCAAGATGTAATTTTAGATCATTATTACCATCACCATTGTTTCTATACTGCTGAAACTCTTTGGGTGGTTCTCAGAAATAATCACTATGCAAGATAAGAGAAACATAATATAAAATCTTTTACACACAGAATTACAATCATTGGGCAGAGCATCCTATGGCCCCTAAACAGCATCCAAAGGGCAAAGGGATGAACTGGTGTTTCTGCACTGATGTCAGAAAACAGGGAATCTGAGCTGGGATTCCATGCTCAGAAAACCCTGCCCACCCAACTCACAGCCAGCATGGGAAGAATCACACTGGCTGTTTCTCCAAGGTTGTCAGAGTGACTGCGGAGAAGAGGTTTGGGGCTCAATCCATCCATATGCCTCTATGCCTCCCAACTTGGCGGTTTCCAGACATCCTACACAGGCCACAAACTCTTAAACTAGACTATCTGATTCACAAGTTTGCAGCTCAGTTCTAGAAGCCAGTTCCCACACGAGCAAAGTGTGGCATTTGATGGCATATACATTACTAGGAGCTTATGTAGTTCATCCCACAGTTGCTACATGTTGAAATACATTTAATGTCTCCTCTTGGGCATGGAGCTTATCATTATGGCTTAACTCTAATATCCCCTGGTATGGGATTTCTCCCTCTCCTCTCCTGGCTGCAACTGTCCACACTAGAAATTGAAGAGCTGGAATTCCTATTCCATGGACAGAACCAACGAATTCCATTGGCAGACTACAATCTGATTCAACCCTATAGCCTTACAAGCAAGATCTGCAATTAAAAGTGTTCACATCTCTGGAACATTGCATTAGCAGAGAAGCTGACTAAACAGTTAAAAATAGCAAGAGGGAATTATTGTGGTGTTTCTATACAGCCCATAGAAGAAGCTCCCTGGGCAGTTTATAACAATCATCTACTCCAGTCTCCCATCCTGTTTCTTGCCAGGCCTGACTCTGCTTAGATTCCAAGATTAGATGGGATCAGGCTACCTGGAAGCTAAAAGCTTTAGAGAACGTTGCTACTGTTTTATGACATGCAAACACAAAAGATAATGCTTGACACCACCCACTACACTTGGATGACTATCTAAAGCCTCCATTAAAACAATGCAAAATACTCCTGACTTCTTAAAACTGTGTTTCAAGGTCCTATGACAAATTTACCAGGCCCCAAAATGAAACAGACTATCAACAACCGTCACTATTCCTAGGTCCTTTTTGAACTGTTTTGCAGGGGGAAATAATAAAAACCACGTAACAACAACAATAACACCCTGCTGAATTTCAGTGGCATGAAACTGACAGTCAACAGCAGTGAATCAAAGCGTATAAGCACCAAGGCCCAGATTCTCTGGGACACACCAGCTGGATGGGACTGCGGTTGTCATGCCCAGAGCAGGTGTGTTCCTGGATTAACCTAGTTAGAATAGATTTACAGCTGCTTTGTGCTTCCAGAATACCGCAGAACAGCTGCTGTCTAGAAGAAAAACCCATCTAATGACATTCCTTGCTTGCCTTTCTTCATAAAAGGCTTTGGACCTGATCCAGCAAGCGTCATTGCTCATAATTTATGAAGATGGCTTGCAATTCCATAGGAACCATCACTTCATTTGGGCTTCAACAAGCCGGCCACTGCAACCCACACACCGACCAATGCAACCAATAATCAAAAAGCAATGGTGAATCCAACTGTAGACGGGTTTGTTCAGGAGAACATCAGGAGAAGGCAGGACTCTCTGAAGAAGATGGGCAGGATGAGTGCATGCAAGAGGACATCTTTTCTTGGACATTTGCTAACCACATAGAAGAAGAGACTCTCTTCTGTACAATGAGTAAAAGTGCAGGAGCCCTGATCCTTCCCCATTCTACTGGTGGGTCTTGCTCCATAATACAGATCTGTCTGTTTCCTTTCCTATAGCTTTCAATGGTACCCCAAATTAGATTTTGAAGGGAGCCGCCTTATGGTGCAATCACATCTACAGCTAAATGGGATTACTTGCCATCGCAACATTTTTTAGAATCTAGGTTTGCCCCCACTGCATTTATAGCTTCGGAGTTTCCTTCACTATTAAAAGCATTTATTAGGCTGATGCTATATATCCACCCACAATCAAAGTTTACAAATATTTATTATCAGTGAATAAATATGACACTCAGGGTCTTAAGCAGGAATGGAAGAGGGAGTTGAGCTCTCCTGCTTGACCCAGTCAATGGATCACCTCTTATCACCTGTATCAGAAGTGGCAATGGAGCTTAGATACATCTTATTCAGCAAAAATGTGTGTTTCATGTTTATTGGATGCCACAGTGTTTCTTTAATAAGGGAATGTCTAAGTCAGTTAATGGCTGAGGTATAATATGCTAAATGCTTCTTTTACCAATATGTTCTGGCAATCTCCAGTACTTGCTTCTTTTTGGCAGGAGGTCATGATATGGCCAAACTTTGTCCTGGAATATTCTTTAATATGTACTGTTGAGTACATTCTCTTAAAGTGTTTACTTGTAGCTCAGAAGTAAAAGCAAAGTAAACAGAAATGAATTTCTTCATTCCTGTGACAGTTTAAAGGCATGGAAACAATAATTGTCCATCTCCTATAATACACGAGATTGAGAATCTAATAATGCTTTCAACATTTGAATGGGTGGCATATAGATACCAGCTGTTAATGGGTAATATATAGACACCTAATCTGCCTTTCTTGAAGCTTACGTAATGGTTTCTACTGATAATTGTATTTTCATATATACATATATACACCCAGGTATATATTTTATATGCATTTATTGTAAGTGATTTGTTCATATGTGTGGGTGGGTGGGTGAGTGAAAACAGGCAATTCTTTCAAATTTATGCAAATTCGGAAGTTTTATTTTTATGGGTTTGCTTTGATTTGTTTCATTGGGATACACAATTAAAAATTAATGTTGAAAAGTTATACAGTCCCCTCTGTCTACTTGGAAGTATTTTTCAGGGCACCTACATAGGAACTGCAATAATTTCATCACAAATAATAAATGACCACATCCACATTTCGTCCTCCTCACTACTGAGGAACAGAGCGGCCAGGCGCAAATAAGACGGGCCTAGTGGGGAACCATGTGCAGTGACACTTCAAAGAGCAGGACTGCCAGAAGAGAAACTGATGGTCTCATGTTGTTGTTGCTATTGCGAAGTCGTGTCCGACCCATCGCGACCCCATGGACAACACTCCTCCAGGCCTTCCTGTCCTCCACCATCCCCAGACTCTACCTAAGCTCACACTGACTGCTTCAGTGACTCCATCCAGCCACCTCATCCTCTGCCGTCCCCTTCTTCTTTTGCCATCTATTGCTCCCAGCATTAGGCTCTTCTCCAGGGAGTCCTTCCTTCTCATTAGGTGGCCAAAGTATTTGAGTTTCATCTTCAGGATCTGGCCTTCTAAAGAGCAGTCAGGGTTGAAAACCCTACGGACAGGACCAAAAGGTCTTAGGTAGCTGGATGCTAAGCAGGAGAGGACTTCTGTATCGTTATTAGTAGCTTGCCAGTTGCTGAAATCTCTTTTACACAACTATTAAGACACAGGAGCTTCGTGTTATTTTCTGCCTGTTTTCGTGTAGGAAGAGGTGGTAGAATGAACCATTTCTGACTATAGGTACGTATCACATCATATATTTTCGTGGTGGGAAAAAGCAGATTCTTTTAGACAGGTCTTCCCCAAAAGCTCTGTCCTGGCTAAATCTTCACTAAAGCACTCTTAAAGAATGTCACCATTCTTCAAAGGTGACATTCTTTCATTATGAACAGCACAAATTGGGATTTCTGAGGAATGCAATGGGGAGTGATTTTTTTAACCTACCCCCATAGATTACATTCCATTAATCTTGTACTAGGGCCAACCCAATTTGATATGAGCCAAGCCAGCACAGAGCGTCCATTTTTTTAAACCAGCTGAAATTTGCAATTGTTTAAAAACGCTGTGGAAATGTCTGCAAATTACTTTAGAGGTAGACAGTTCTCTGTTCCAAATCTGCGCAGGATAAAAACAACTTAACCCACTTTTGGCCATGGGGTTGGAAATGTATTAAAAGTCCATCAAGCGCAAATGGAACAAGCTTTCCAGTGGTGCACGTCTATAAGTCGAAATGTTCCTCCCACACGAGAAAGCTGAGTTTCTATTTCACGACAGGTTACATCCCAGTTCAGGATCAGGCCTGCATAGTATCCTGCATACTATCATGTGCTTCATTCATGCTTAGAGATTGCAACATTAGCTTTGCATATATTACTGTGCAGATACAGCTATGCAGTGAAACCAGAACGTACTGAGCTGGTAGGCCCTCACCCAGTAGAATGAATCACTCTTTTTTTAAAAAAAAGCATCTTGAAACCTGATATGCAGTCACAGATGCTCATTAGAGCCACACCTACTAGGCTGTGTGTCCTGTGTACAAAAAGGAGAAATCCTGTGGGAGGTCCCTGAAACTCACTGAAGAGCTGGAAAAATATCAAAGAACAGGCATCCAAAAAGCCCCCATGTGAATCACTTCCAAATCAATCACATTCTCCTTCATTTCAGCAAAATGCAGTTAGACCAGAATTTTTATATTCATTTAGTAAAGCATGAATATTACATGTTTTCCTCTCTTCTTTGAGCTGTGAGAAGTTTAGCTGAATTTGTTTCCCTTCCGAAGGAACACACCAGGGGCTTATCTGCATTTTGTATTATTTGCATTTATTTACAAATCTAAAGCTTGAGCACTGGCAGAGACTCAGCTTAAACCAGCTCTGGGTGTATTGGACAATAAACCCCAAGAACCCCAGCCAGCATTGCTAATCGTTATTCTGTCTGGGGAAGATGGAAGTTGTAGTCCAATGCATCTGAAGTGTGATCTAGTTGGGAAAAGCTGACTTAAACAGTTGGGAAAAGCTGACTTAAACAGTCTGACGGCACACAGCCAAAATCTGCAGCTTATGCATCAGATCTGAGGAGGCAGCCAGCACCATGAAGAATAGAGCCCATCATTGACATCTGTCACTTCTTCTGTCCTTCCTCTTAAGAACTTCCAGAGCTCAGAACTGCAGTCTCCTTCACTTCCAGACACCTATTTTGTAGCAGCCTCAGCTCATAGCAGGATGGCTCTTCCCCCATCTTGCCCCACAATGGTCTTGGGTCAATGAGAAAGTGGCTTGCTGTTTAGTTCCCATGTCAACATATTGTCGGTACTTGCCTAACAGATAGATGTTCCAGCTCAGACCTGTCCAAACCCAAAACTAACAACAGTATTATATTAAATATTAGATAGGAGTATTAACTTATCTGTAGCTGAAAGTTTGCAACCAATAATTCAGCAAGATGTAGGTGGATGTGAAGGGAATGCTGATAATGTTCTGTATTTTAGGGTAAAGGAAATCCAAAGGACCTAATTACAAAAGGTCCTAGATCAAATCAAGCTAGACAAAATCAAGCTGTCTTTTGTCCTGCACATCATGAGAAGGCAGGTCTCCCTCGACAAGAAAGTAATGCCAGGAAAAGTTGAAGGCAGAAGAAGAAAAGACCAACTATGAGATAGACCAGTTCCATAAAGGAGGCCTTGGCCTTGAACTTCGAAGACCAGAGCAGGGCTGTCAAAGACAGGAGATTTTGGAGGCCTTCACTCAAAGGGTCACCATAACTGAGAGACAACTTGATGGTACATAACAATACTTACAAAAGCCTTTATAATGCACAACTGCAAGCAGTGGCCTGGTGGTCATGGGTAGAGTGGAAGAAAACTTTTCCATCGAATAGAAACTCAACGAATTAGAATCAGACCATCCATCCTTTATTAAAAGACCCTCACAGTGCCGTGGAAGAGCACCCCTGTGTGACATGGTGGATTGTCATGCCATCTGAACCGATTCTGAGCCTAACAGCCAACAAGGCACTTGGTGAGAGCAGCAAAACATCCTCTGCTACTCTCAAAAAGTGGTGGCTGTCAGAGGCTTTCCCCAGCGCACGGTGGCACCAGGTGGCCATTCTTGTCAGCAGTTCAGAGGTAGACCTCTCACGAATGGCTGAGAACTGCTCCTCCTTGATGAGAGGACACAGGCTCCTTTGGGAAGGGGATGTAAAGATGCGTCTGGAAAGCTCTGTTCTTGCGCTGCTGCAAAGCTGGCCAGGAGGGGGGAGCTGGTGGCCTCCTCCAGTGGGTTGCCCCCTGCTTGGGGCAGCAGTGGCGCCCTTGGGACAGCCCCACCCTCTTCCACCTCCTCCCCAAGGGTGAGAAACCACAAGCACACATGAAATGCTTCACACGGAAAGATTCTGAGTGTGCTGCTAGTTTTCCCCTTCTGCATAATTGCTGCCATTGTAGTACGTAATAATGGGCAATCTTCCCTGTACTTCAGAAACAGAACGTAAGATAGATCCACCTTGTATGGCATCTTGCAGAAATCTTCATGCACAAACTCTGCTTTGACTTTTCCATGTTTTATAGTGTTCGAAGCTGGAATTGAAATGGGCTTGATGTGTATTGCTAAACACTTGATGTACGCAAGATAAGCATCTCAGTGAAGGCGTAAAAATATTTTTATTCTGGCACAAACATTATGTAAATAAAAACAAACTGGCACTGGTTGATTGTATATACAGGCTATTCCAGAATCTTTCCCACCCCCTCTAAAGCATTACCAGGACTAAATGGGGAAGAAGGCCTACACACACCCGATTGATCAAAATATGCTGGCTGCAAAGCACAGATCATCGCCACTGTTCCTACTGCCCTGCACTGGATGAATGGAAGTCTGCAAGTTTGAACATTTTCAACCATGGCAGTACAATCAAAAGGATTGCACCTTAAGTACCCCAAATCACTCCCTGTAATAAATTCCTTAACATTTAAGGTGCCACAAGATTCTTTGTTGGCACAGAGTTAACAGTGGCATGTTTAAGGCATGTTTACTCAGAAGTAAGCCCCACTCAGTTCAATAGAACTTGGTAGTACATGAATGTGTATAATCTTCAGTCACCTTTGGTTATTTTCACACAATATTTTCTTATTGTGTTATTGATTAGTTTTATCGCAATTTTACTTTGTGAACCAGTTTGCGATTTTTAAAAATAGATACTTTTTTCTGAAGTAAGGATAAAGTTACAGCCTCCATTAATTGGGAATAAACCCCACTGAACTCAATGGAGTGACCTTTTGAGTTGAGAAGTAGGGGATTACATTGTAGCACTGCTTTCCTTCTTAGGATTTTCCCTCTGAGTTTTTTCACCCCAATGCCAGGGTTCAGACTCAGGATATGTCAAGCAGTTAAAACAAAAAGAAATGCTTCTGACCATATGCAGAGTGTCTTTTCCTTCCTGCTGCTGAGTTTCAACTTGAAGCAGGCTGTTCCAAAATATTAATACCAGATGGGCCAACCCACTTAACATGAGGTTTCTTGGGGCTGAAATTAGTGTGTCTACTGGCGCTATTAAACTAAAAATAAAAAACCAGGGCCCTACCCTGGTGCAAATCCACACCTATTCCTCAGCCAAGATGAGGGAATGCTGGGCCTCGTTTTGCTGTCTAAACGTGCAAAGAACTGCGCCCTTCTCTTAGCGCAGATGCAGCGGGCCCCCTCTGGACCTTAAAAATCACGCAGCCGGCGCTCTCCTAAGTCCGGAGTTTGCGCTTGCTCGAGGGTAGCAACGGAACCGGAGCGGCTAGGAAGGTGCGGCGCAAGAACCTAGCCCACTAGATATGAAGGCATACGGGCGTCTATCTAGGGCCTCCGCAGGGTCTCCGAGGAGATCTTTTGAGCAGCGCCGAGCACGCCCTTTCTGCCCACTCCATGGGAGCGGCGAGGCCGGGGGGAGGGCGCCTTCTCCAAGGAGGCGCCCTCCGCCCACCGGGGCAGCGCGGCGGTGATCGCCAGGTGCCAGGGCGCAGCAAGGTGAGGGGAGAGGCCGCTCGGCTCGCGCGGAGAGGGGGCGGGCGAGCAGCGGGGCGGTGCCCCACCGACTGACTGCACGCTCCCTGCCAGCCACCTGCGGCTCTCCGCTCCCCGGCCCCTCCTCCTCCTCCTCCTCCCCTCCTCCCGCCTGCCTGCCTGCCCTACCTGGCCGCGGCCACGTCAGGGGCTCCCGATCGCGCCTCGCAGCGCCGCTCCGCCCGCTCGGCGCCCTCCGCTGCCGCCCGCCGCGACCATGATGTCCGCCCGAGGCGCGGGCGCCATGCCGCCGCCCCCCAACGCCACCGCCTTCTACCCCCCGCCGCGCGTCACCCTCCCCTCCGGCGTGGAGATCCTGCGCACCTACTCGGGGGCCTTCATCTGCCTGGAGATCGTAAGTCCCGCGCAAGTGGCGAGGCAGCGCTGGGGGCGGGCGGGCGAGCGGGGGGCGAGCGGAGCGTGGGAGCAACAAGTGAGCAGGCGGAGGCCGGGGCGAGTGCGCGCCCCGTGCCAGTCTGCTCAGAAGTGAGGCTCACTGAGTTCCCAGGGCCTGCCTTCAGGGTGAGTGCGTCGGGCAGCCGTGCCCGGTCCGATGCTTTGGACTTTAACTCCCATCAGCCCCAGCCAACGTGGCCAATGGTCAGGAGTCCAGTGAGTCAGAGTCCAAAACATCTGGGGTGGGGCAGATTGTGCGAGGTGGTTTATGGCATCCCCATAACCACTAGGCAATCTTTGTATTGCTGTGTTAAGGGAGAGGAATAGCCGATATGGAGTAATTCTAAGATGGGAGTTCCTTTTATGTATTATTTTTCCTCGGATGGCTACTCCTGT